CAAAGTGACACACTTCAAATATATTTATAATTGATTTTAACCAACAGAAAATAAATTTAATTCACTAAGATGTTAGAATTTATTCATCTCATGACCAAAACAAATATCTTGCCTTCACTAATGTGAACAGTGATACTGAGATCAGGACTGTAATATGTAGGCCAGGTCTTGTTCAAAGGCTGGGATTTTAGAAATTGGCGGGAAAAGGTCAGGGTCTCACCACCAGAGGGCAGCCACACAGTGTTGCTGCCATCTTTTGGTAAAACATGAAATTGCATTTCTTAGGTGTGTATTTTACATATTCTGATTGATGATACTGGCAAGCCATAAGTGATGCATTCTATGACAGGATGAGGGCTATGTAAAATTTGACCACAAGCCATAATTGGCCACCAGGCTGGATTTAGACATTCCTGACTTAGTGTATATGCACAACAGTTTATGGTCAATATGTGCCAAGCAACATCACTTTGTGTACTTTCACTTGGTTACTATAGCAACAATCCCAATATTTTTTGATCAGACCTCATGTACCAGATGCTACTCTAAAATTCAGGGTGTAGTACAGATGTTTACTGTTATACCGTGTCAATAACCCAGAGGAACTATTTCCAAGGTGACATTGAAACCTAAATGTTAGGATAAGTAAGTTTCTCATCCTTCATTCAAACTTGTAGCATCTCCTTTCTGTAATGGGGATAGAGGTCATATTTTAAGAGACATCTTTTATAAATGTTGAGCTGTCTTTGATTCCATATAAATAGCTTAGTTCACAAAGCAACAGCCAACCATTTACCAACTGAAATAACTACAGAAGAGCACAATCATATTAACACTTATAAAAACAAAAGAATATCCTTGAAAAAATTAAACATACAGTATACGATGGGCAAATTATCGCCATTTTATATTTTTAATTTCACGCCTGTACATGGTTTTCAATTTTGTCGACTGCACATAATAGTATAATAGGGTCAGTTGGACACCATCTGAGAAAAAGAGCACCATGATGCAATTCACTCCACTTGAGATTTGGAAATGGCAAGCTGTACCATTTGGCATTTGTAACAGAAGTTCCAACATAAACATTTCAGAGTGTTTGGATGTCAATCTGAGGACACTGCAGAGCATTCGGATAGAGTTGGATGAGCCTAGTGGTGATTACAAAGTTACAACAACTCAGAAAACTCCCAAATTTGTTGGTGAGGGCCTTAGATTCAACATAGAGACCTACTTAAAAAGGTAGTACAGCCTGGGATCAAAAGGGTGGCTGCTGGAAGACCCTATATCTGACAACAGGACTCTGCACCATGCCACACAAGTAGGAGAACTCAGTCATGGCTGTCAGACAATTTCTGCGACCACATTACCCCTTACATCTGGCCACTTAACTCCCCAGACTGCAACCCTTTTGATTATTATGTGTAGAGCGAGAGACCACCAAAACTCCTTGTAAGACCAAAGAACTGAAGGTAAGGATTATGGCAGCATTCACCAACTTAAACAAGGAGGGAACTGTTAAGAGTTGCAAGAGATTCTAAAGTCTATAGGTTGTGGATGAAACAAATGGCAATTTTATTGAATAAATTTACTCTAGTATTTCAAGATACTTTTGTGTAATTTTGATAAATATATCTCTCAAAAGATGACAATTTACCCATCGCTCCCTGTAGACCATATATTACGTTGGAATCAAATAAATTGCCATTTCTTTCTTGCATTAGTGAGATTGTGTTTGCATCATTCCCTTCTGTTTATGCATACATTTTCATAAATTCTGTCTTTGAATTTTTTGATTGCTTTTATTTTTTTTTTTTCCTTTTTCTATGCTATATCAGAATAAAGCTGAGTATAAACATTTTTCATATTGTTCAAATTTGGCCAATGCTGCCAAAGACACCTGCAACAGAATGGACTGTCTGCTATTGATTCCAGAAATTTGTTTCTGGTAATCTTGTTCTCCAAGATGAGCCTGGTTATAGCTGTGAGTTGTTATTTAACAATGAAGAATTGAGAAAAGCTCATATCAGTGTTGGAAGATACCTTAGACAAATTGAAGATTATGCAGAAGTGAATACGTCATGATTTGACTGATGATCATCAGCTTGCATAGTTTGAAACCTATTGTGTTTTTCTTGTTCATTTAAAAGCTGACCCTTTTCTGAAATATGCACTAAATATTAACAAGAAAAGGGTTTCCGCATGATGATCAGAAATCTGACTTCCTATGGAGTTTAAAAGAAATGCTCTCCATCAACCTCTCCAAATCCTCATCCCACAACAAAAGATTCCATTCAAAGATGTAATGGCATAATAAGCCAATGATTCTCAAATGCCATTCTACGGTGCACACACACGTGTGCGTGGAAGTAGTATTTGAATAAATGAATAAGTATTAAAATTTTTATCCCACATTAACTAAAAAGGCTTTATCAGTTTTATTGCAATTTTCTACTTATTTATGAAGAGGAAAAAATTGCAAGGCGCAAGATCTGGGGAATATGGGGGTTACTGGACCTGAGGAATGTTTTGTTTGGCCAAACACTGCTGCAGAAGCCATGGTCACTGATGGAACCTTTGTGGTGTGGTAAGATAACTGCACTCTATGCACTTTCTTTCCAAGCAATGTTATAAACAACAGAAGTGAGCAAGAACATTATAATTTAGTTCAGGGGTATCCAAGCTTTATTCAAAGAGGTCCAGATTTGATGAGGTGAATATGCATGAGTGCCAACCATTCTGCTTGGCATTCTTTGAACCATTAATATTAAATGCAAATGAACTATCTTATGAAAATTCTCAACTCTAAATAACATAAAAAATAAGAAGTGAGAAAGACTACACTCAACTGAAGAAGAAATCAAGGTTTGCTTATCACACATTCAACCAAACCTTGAAGAAATCACAAAAACACCAAGCATAGGTTTCATACTAAATAAGAATGCAAATAGTTGAATAGAATCATTGAAATAAAGTAAGTTCATATTTGTGTGTATATTTTTTTTTTTTTTTTAATATATGGTTTCATTTCATAAAATTTAAATGTATACAATTTAAAAATGTTGCTAAGTGTGTCGTGATATTTTCATTTGCTCCTAGGTGTGCCATTGCTTAAAAATGATGAGAAATGCTGGCATAACCCCTTGCATCCTCTTGCAACCTTGTTGGACTATCCTGGTCCTATTGTATTGACTTTAGATTGTTCTGATGAATAGAAAGAGGCCTAGTGGTATAACACAAGACCTGATATTTCACAAACCAGTTTGCAAAAACTGATGCAATTAGGCATTAAGGGCCTCCTCATTCACTGGACCTGTCTCCTACCAATGCGAACCAAATCAAAAATGCCTTCCAGCAATTTGTCAGCTCATGCTATCCCATTTTATATTGTGATAGAATAAATTTCTCTGCCAGATTGTTAATAACATTGTGTTGATTGTAATGGAGCTTGCTTTGACTAATAAAATTGTGTGTGTAAATTACTCTTTTTGAGTAGGTACACATCTACTTATCATCTCTCAGTTGCATCTCTGTCCTTGGACAGAGTGAGCTCAGGGGCTTCTATGTCAAAGGACAGAGGGGCAACTGAGATAACTATACTGAGAGCTACCCAGCCCTGGGGAACAGCTGCCCGAGGCCGTGCCCTCCCATTGCACTAGAGGGAGGGATCAGTGTTCACACTGAGGCCAGCACAACCGGCGGTTGTGAGGGCTGAGGGGAATTTTTGTTCTTGTCCCGGGTGTACACGCTCGGGTCCCCACCTAAAAATAAACCTTGTGTCACATCTCGTCCTAGTGGGGGGACAGAGTAAATACCATGTGTGGGATAAGTTATAATGGTCTAGTTTCAGGTACAAAATAGCCATTTTGATCCAACATTACATCGCAACATAAAATTCAGCTGAACTGTCTGTTTTCTCTCATGCCTGCATGTATTCAACATCTATCAGAATGCTCTGGAGAGTCAGGTTGGTACTTGTTTTTTTAATTCTTACCAACATTTAAAGGAAATGCAATTTAATATATTGAAAGCTGTAAAAAGTGTATACTGTCTGAATGGACAAAGTTAACTGCAATAAGCAGGCTGCTACCTGGACATGTATAAGATAGAAAATGACTCAATCACTAGGTGAATTCAGTTATATCACATTAAAGAAGACACTGTCAGATTTTATTTTATGCAGGCTAATGTTTTCACAATAAAATTAGTATTAACCAATACTGGTAAATTTTTCAGGATATGTTTATATGATAAATATACCATGTTAATTTCAGATTACATTATCTGTTTTTATTAGAAATATTTACAATGATTTATTTGATGGTGTGAGGTTTTATTATGCAACTCAAGTGTTGTTCATATTAGAAAAATATTTTTTCATTATAGCTTTGTCATGGTTTGTAAGAAAGATATAACCTTAAGAGAAATCAGATAAATGAATGACTAGCACAACACTTGAAATTGTAAAAAAAAAAAAAAAAGTTTGAACGCAAAAAGAACGACTTTAACATTCTGGGGGGTGATTTTGTTTGCAAAACAAAAATTTTATCTTGTGACTGTAAGTGACAGATGAATGAATGAATGACAGTTGTGTTGTCATATCCTGCTATGGCAACATAAAGTGACCATGACTGAAATTAAGTAACCTTAAAAAAAAACAATGCAGTGGAAAGGAAAGTAGTGAATAATGTAGTGTGTTAAAGGTTAAAAATAGGATTAAAAAAAAAAGCAAGGAAGCTGGATTGAACAGCAAGAAAATCTTTGAAAATGTTAGTGTTGCAGGTGTGAAAAGAAAATTATACAGCCTATTATGAATATTGAGTAAAGACATGAAATTGCCTAAATTACTACTTAAATAAACATCACAAAGGGTGACATGTAAAGTCAAACAAGGAAGTCCATAAATGATTCAACAGCAACTTTTGTGATGAATGTAGAACTAAAGAGTATATCTTTCAGCCTCTTGCTTTCCGGTCAACTTAAAAAAAATTAAAGGATTGCAGCCATGTCATTAAAACACCAGTTCTTGTCCATTCACCAAAGTTAAGCAATGTCAAGCTTGGTCAGTACCTAGATGAGTGACCACTTGGGAATACTAGGTGCTGTAAGCTTAGATGTGTCGGTGGTGTAATGGATAACAGCTCAGAATTGGAAATTGGAGAACCAAGTTACAATTTCAATCAGATTCGTTATATTCAAGTGTGCAAAAATACTCTTAATAAAAGGCATGAACCCACCTCTTCCCTAACTATAGGTTAAATAGTAGGATTTGTATTAGTAAATCATTTAGTTAGTAATTAGTAAATAGTAGGATTTGTATTAGTAAATCCACTGTGCCATGTGTCCTCAAGGACACATGTCACAGTGGATAAAGGCGTTGGTTAGATCCAGTGACAGACCCAAGGAAGGTGAGTTCAATTCCTGGTTAAGCCAGTGGAGAACTTTCAGAGGGAAAATTAGCAGGAGATAACTGACATCCATCAAACATGGCACGTGGAACTAGAACAGTCTACCCCAGTGATCGAAATAAAGGGTTCAGTTCGAAATTCCAACCACCTGAAGAAGGCCGGAGCGTACAACGGCCGAAACGTTGTGACAAATATGGCAACAAAGATGAGGACAATAGTCCGACTAATGTAAATACTGTAGTAAATCATTATCTCAAAAAAATTCTTAGACATCAAAAATACTTTCTGGCTTTAAATAATCTGCAAAAGGTTGACAAGCCATAAAAATGATTATCAAAAATTTAAAAACAGTGACAATCATTATCTTTTATGTCCTTAATGCCTGTTCTTTTAATGTTTGTTTTTTTTTTCTTTTTCTCATATTCTTAGTGGCTTTATTGCCTTAAGGTGAAATGATAAAAAATTATATAGTTGTGCAAAACAATGCTCCTTCAACAAAGCTGGCTATTGACCACCTTGCCAAATTTTAGATATCAAATTAATGGAATTCTGATATTAATCTAATAAACCACTTTGTGATCCACCATTAAAAGAAACGTATACATGTATGGGGAACAATACTCAAGCAAAGTAGAAACTGGTGTAATGTGAAAGACAAAACAGAAAGGTTAGCAATATGAATGCATTAAATCAGAGGTTCTCAACTATGGACCACTTTTACTCTTTTTTTTTTGTTGAGTCCCCATAACATTCAATGATAATAAAAAAAGCTTATTTTATTTTTAACTAATAGGTAACTTTAGGAATTGTATTATAGAAATAGTAAATGTATATGCTTTATTTTAAAGTAAAACTTCTTGTTTAAGTTGGTGAATGCTGCCATAATCCTTACCTTCAGTTCATTTTTGGTGTTACAAGGAGTTTTGTTGGTCTCTCGCTCAACTACACTCCACACATAATAATCAAAACGGTTGCAGTCTGGGGAGTTAAGTGGCCAGATGTAAGGGGTGATGTGGTTGCAGAAAATTAATGAAAATAAACTTGTATTTAACAACTAAATTCTCAAGGTCCTTGACAAAATCCAGAGATGGATATGCAATATCTGGCATCTCATCTACAGTCACTTTCTTACAGACATGTCGTCGCTTCCCTCTGTCTTTTCTATAAATACTTTCATAGTAACTGCTCTGACGAGCTACTTTCGCTGGTTCCAAAAAAATTTAAACGTGCTACTAGGTTGGCATCTCAGTTCCACCCTTTCACTATCAAAACTGTTAAGTCATCTGTTCTACTCCAATAGATTCATGTCTTGCACTTCCTGTGTGTGGAACTCCCTTCCTCTTACTTGTTTCCCTGATAGCTATAATCTTCAATTATTCAATGCATTGTCAAATGACATCTTCAGATGCCTTGATTTAATTCACTGCCCTTCTCTTCATCCTTTCCTCTATCATGCCTCTTTACTCTGGCTCCCATTCTCTAACCCCTTGCATGCTAGTGGCACTCCCACCTTCCTTGGGGTGAAATGCTTAAAAAACTTTTTTCCATGGGACATTTATGTACACTAGTAAAATAACTCATAATAAACCATTTTAAAATATGTGATTAATTAATAAATAAAAAAGTGCAGATTTATTCAATGAGATTCCTGTGGTTGATGCTGCTCTGCAAGTTTTTTAATATTCGTCTCCATCAATGTCAATGATAATGGAAGATCACCCCCTTTTCACAATGTCGAGTCTATTATATTAATTTATATTAGTATTTTATTAATATTTAAGATTAATATTATTATTATTTATTAACATATTAAATTAATTTATGTAATAAATTATAATCTTTTTTATATAATTTTCCTTTTTTATATATATATATATATATATATATATATATATATATATATAATCCTTATAAAATTTTATTCTCTACCAAATACAAGTTCTTGTGCCAAACATAAAAACTTAGTCAGAATAGCAAGTTATAATAGGCTCAAATCAAAGCATGACTCAACCAATATGTAAAATTTTAAAGTTAAACATTTATTACACAAGTACAAAAAAAGTTCAAAAGTTTGCACAAAAATTTCATTTTGTGGGCCTATCAAGGCAGGATAACAATTTCTGATAAAAAGGATTATCATCAAAAAATGAAAAAGACTACAGTTTGGGAAAAGATCATTATTTTGAAAATGATGAAAGAGAAAGCAATACAAGAAGGCAGATAATATTACTTGCCCCACAACCATCTCTGGGACATATAGTAATTTTTAAAAGTCACTTTTAAATTCACACTGCTCATGCTTGGAAAAATTTCTTTAAATTCTTTTTTGTTCTTTGTTGTTCAACCACAGGAGAATTTTCACTTGAATTTCAAGATTCTTTACTCTCTCTGCAGCTGGCTTGTAACCCTGTGCCTTCTTGATGCTCTCTTTTTGATATCAAATGCTTTCTGCTCTTTGATGTTGATTTGTCTTCTTCCCTTGCTATGAAAAAGTCTTCTCCCTTGTGCAGTGTCTTGAGCTCTATTTATTAAGAAATTTAGCCTCACAAAGCCACCATTCAGCTTCTTACTAGTGCTTGAGATCATGTTTCTCATTGGACATTATATATGAAAAAATAATTTTCTATAAACTAGAAATGGATCCATCACAAATTTTGTGGCGGGTTTTAACTGCTGAGCTATAAAAAGATATACAAGTATAACTATTTTTTTACATATGCCTTCATAAAAATACACTTTTCTCAAGAACGTGTACTAAAAAAAATAAAAGGAAAAACAATCTAGACAATTAAACATTTATTCAAGACTAGCAGCATGGCCCAGTGTTGCCCGTGCTTGATTCAAAAATCGTACGACTCGTACAGCAATCGCTATCACTTGACTTAAAATATTTTTGCCCTTCCTAGCCTTTAAAGGAGTGCCCTTTGCCATGCTGATATTGCTACATGCCTTACTTCTTGCCTATCTCACACTGCAAATTTTTTCTAAGCTCTATACTAAACTATCTATTATGAAAAAAGAACTAAACAAAATGAACACAAAACGATCAGCTTTAAAAAAAGGACTCGTAACTGGAAAAACCAAATGAAAAAAGAATGTTAACAACAAATAATTTTTCACACCCAACCCAGTTCTGCAGAATCAGAATCAACGTTGAGTTTAAGCAAGTGAATGAGCCAATTGGAGTAAAGTGCCATGCAGATTTAAATTTTTCTCACTTGTGACAAATGCAGCTATCGATTTTTTTTTTTTTTTTTTTTTTTTTTTTTTTGCATGCTAGCATGCTAGTTAACATTCATGTCAGTCAGCTGTTGGCTCTCATGCTGGCCAATAGAATCTTCCTGCCTATTCGTGGCAGCCAGCTATAGGCTCTCACTCTGGCCAGTAGAAAATGGTCACAAACTATATGAAAATTGCAATAGAAGCATGAAAAAATTCGATTATTTCTACTATCGATGGGCGTTGGGAAATGCAAAGTCAGTCTTGGCCTTCCCACTAACTTGGAGCATGTGCATGTAAATTTTGGTGCAAATACATCGAAAATTGCGGCCGTGCATTCGTTACGCACACACACATCCTGCCTTTTATAGATAGAGATTTTGAGACTAGTGAAATAATATCTTTCCCACAATACAATACAGCTTATGGGCTCAATGCACCATGGGACAAAGCTCCACATGGAAAATAAACAAGACAAAACAGTTCCAGGTAACTATTGACAATTATATGGAAATGTTTTGAATCAAATCAAAACCACAGATGTTTTCTTGTGATGGTGAGCATAAACATGTATCTAATTTCCAAATTCTTTAATAACTAGAATCTGGGGTTGCCTTTGAAATTTATCCTATGTTTAAAGTTTGAATATGTATACTCGTAGATTAAAATATAACAAAATTTTGCTAGGTTTAACAGATATTTCAGAATATTGACATTTTTTGTCCAGAGTAAATATACAAAGAATTCTTATGAGTAGAGAAATCAAATCTTGTGTGTGGGTTAGATCAGATCAGATCAGATCAGATCCCAAACTACCGCTAGTCACAATGAATGGATGTCTCCTTGAGGAGGCACCATGCATTGAGAGAATATTGGACTTCAAACTCACACTCGACCTCAAGTGGAACTCTTATATATGGTTCATCATTAAAGAGGCAGATAAAATGATCAGCTCCAGTAAGTACCTGACTCTTATGCTATCCTCTACCTTTTTAAGAACCAGACCAAGCTGAAAATGGAGTACTGTTGCCATATTTGGATGGGAGCTGTCCGGCCCCCACTTTTCAGTCTTGATAGAGTTAAAAAGTATCTCTGAGTCTTTGCTGGAGAAGAATTATTTTCCAACTTCTCTCTCACTGCTTTATGGAAAGTCCTCGGAAGAATTACATTCCTTGGTTCTGCCAGATCTAACCTTCACAGCTAGGACACACCATGCCACTTACATAGTAGCGAACTACCCACATTCCCTCCGTATTCCATTGGGAAGAAGTAAGTTCCACTCAAACAGCTTCTTCCTGCAAACCACTGTGGATCAGACTCCCAAGAGGATGTTTCCCCACTACAATCTTAGCCTGTTCAAGTTTAGAGTTAACTATTTTCTTCCCCTCCTATCCATATAAACTACCCCTTAATGTAACCCTCTACCTCGAGTGGCTCCCGAGCCTTGTACAGAATGAACCTTACTGTAAAAAAAAAAAAAAA